TGCAGATCGTTACTGTGAAGTGCTAAATAAACTTAAAAGTGCCATTAAACGAAAGCGTCCTGGAAAATTATCGAGAAAAGTGTTGCTTTTTCACGACAATGCACGGCCTCATTCAGCAAAAAAAACACAAACCTTACTGGAAAAATTCAAATGGGAAATTTTTGATCACCCACCCTACTCTCCAGATCTCGCACCAAGTGACTTTTTTCTTTTTCCTAAGTTAAAGGAAAGTTTGGGTGGCCATCACTTTAATTCAAATGATGAAGTGAAAGACTTTGTTAAATTATTCTTTAAAAAACAGGGCACGGATTTTTATAAACAAGGTTTGTCAAAGCTTCAGAACAGATATAAAAAATGTATTCAAGTCCAAGGGGACTATGTAGAAAAATAGTTTATAAGTCAAACAATAAATACATATGTTACTTTAACCTAAAAATTGTGTTTTGCTTTTTTCCCGGAGCAGGGAAACTTACTTTTTGAACACCCCTCGTACTTATGCCCTTCTTCTTGATTCCACCTCTTCATAAAATTTGTACAAATTATAGTTGGAGAACTAATTCAGAAAAATTAACAAAAAAGCGCTTTAAAATTGAAAGTTTGGGAAATAAGGAATCCACTCTTTATCAGGAACGTGGACAGGAGTCAAGTGTTGAAACTATTTCATACATTTTCACTCATTTACATATGTTACAAATCAAAATCGTTCAACAAAACACAATTGTACATGCAATGTTAATAAATAACAGGTGTGTTACATATCTTTTATAAACATTTTTGAATAATAAATCAATATTAACGTTCATATTACTGCTCGATGAAAACCGCGGGAAGGTAGTGGTTTCTTTCATTAGAAGGAAATGTAACAAATTGTCTAGTAAGTCACGTATGAACTATAACTATTTGACAATTTTTTACAATTCCAAAGGAATGAGAAAAAAAAAAGAAATAAAGCATGTGAAGCAACTTAAAAGCATTAAAACCTTAAACAAAACTTGCACAATTAATTAAAATGCTACGTACAAATAATTCAAAATAATAATAGTCACGACAAGCGAACAAAATATTAGTATGGCATATTATACATTTTTAATTCAAAACGCTAATTAATAATATTTATGGAATAGGAACTACAGTATTTAATTACTGTATTTACAGTCACAAAAACATGCATTTTGCAAAATCTTTATAAAAAATTTTTTCGCACAATGGAAAGCAAGATAATATGCGTAGGTTTGTCTTTCTCTGCCAAAATTACTCATACGTACGGGGTGTATAAATAATAAGAAAAATTATGTATATAAAATCTCATAGCATGACATCCCTTTACAGACAAACTTCGGTGAATATGTATTAGGATATTTTAAAAGATTAATCTAGACGATGTTGTTTAGTGTCATTCACTTTCAGTTCAGTCTTCGAATGCAACCTCATGCGATACAGCATTTACATTTCGACACAGAATGTATTCTACTCGAAAATTTCTCCAATAAATATTACATGTGGCTTCTTAGTAAAAATACGTAAGTCCTATAATTAATATTTTTCATTAATACAAATTACACCATCTTCTAACTTAATGCCACATCTCATAATGTAGCAAAAATGTCACTACTCGTTTTATTGACATATTAGTCATATTTAGTTCTTTAGTCATATTTAGTTTAAATTGAAATAAAGATTGAAAAAGTTGATATGTCTTATACTGACATTGTAAGTAGAGAAGTATGCAAAAGGCATTCGGAGATTTGAATCTGTCTCTCCTATGGGATATGTAGGAGATGCTGGGATT